TTATTAATGATTTAGAAAAGAGAGTAAGCAAGTTCTTAATGATACTCATTGATGGGGCTGACTGGGACAGACACAAGTGATGACAAAGAAATTACCTAATGAAACGTGGAGAGTGGTGAACTATTGACAAAAGCAGCCCAAATTATATTCCACTTGGTATAAATTAATGATTAGTACTAAGCATGCCTTTTGCAAAATAACAGTGTTCAATGAAGACATAAGGAAAAGACTCTTTGGCCTTGGCAGTATTAAATGGCAATATACTTAAAAAGGAAACTGAGTTTTATTCTCCTTGATTGAATTATTTTATCTGCCATGGACAAAAATAAATATGTTTAGCCATGTCACTATCATCTTAGATATTCCTGGTTAATCAATAAGTAATAGGTAAGAGTAAATCTGACATCTTTTTCACTGAATTGATCTTCAGGTTATGTTTTTGAGTTTGGTTATATGTGTGTGCAAACAAGCGCATGCAAACAACTACAACTAGAAACATTATTCTAGTCATAGTTCCTTATAAGGAACACTAACATTTCTTATGAACATACATATTTGGTTATACGTTTTTACAAACTGTACTCTGATACTAAATTTCAGTCCAATTAATGGTGAATAATAACAATAGAAACTACTGACTAGGTTATATTTAAGGTTATGAATTAGAGATATTTTCATATTATGTAAACTCATCACTTTTTTATTGTGGTAAAGTATACATAACATAAAACTTACCATTTTAACCGTTTTCTAGTACACAGTTCAGTAACATCAAGCACATAAACACTTGTGCTACCATCACCACTGTTTCCATAAGTTTTTTGTCTCCCCAGACAAAAATGGTGCACCCATGAAATAATAACTCCTTGGTAGTCTCTCCTCAGCACTGGCACCCTACTATTCTCTGTCTCTATGAATTTTCTATTCTGATTACCTTATATAAGAGGAATCATAATATTTGTTCTTTTGTTTCTGGCTTACTACATTTACCATAATATTGTCAAGGTTCATCCATGTCATAGCATGTGCCAGAATTTCCTTCATTTTTTAAAGGCTGAATAATATTCTATTGTATGTACATACCACGTTTAGTTATCCTTTCATCCATTGATTGACATTTTGTTTGCTTTAACCTTTTGGCTTTTGTGAATAATGCTGTTATGAACACTGGTGTACAAATATTTATTTGAGCCCCTGCTTTCAATTCTTTTGGCTATATACCCAGTAGTGGAATTGCAGGATCATATACTAATACTCTTTTTTTTAACTGAGATAAAATTGATATACAACATTATATTAGTTTCAGTTGTATTACCTACTGACTTGATATTAGTGCATATTAAACAAAGATCATGATAAGTTAAGTTAAAATCCTTCACTATGCATCCAGAATGTTTTTTGTGTGTGATGAGGACTTTTATTTACTCTCTTAAGTAATTTTCCAATATGCAATATAGTATTATTAATTAGAGTTGCCATGTTGTAATTACAGCCTCATGCCTTATTTTGGAAATGGAACACTGTACCTTCAGACACCCTTCAACCATTTTGCCCATTTCCAGCCCCCACCTCTGCCAACCACCAATCTGTTCCTTAAGAGCCTGTTTTTCTGCTATTTTAGAACCCACATATAAGTGACCTTACATGGTTTTTGTCTTTCTTGGACTTGTTTCACTTAACATAATAATGTTCTTGAATTCCATCCATGTTATCACAAGTGTTTATTTCATTCTTTTTAATGGCTGAAAAATAATCCCTTGTATATATACTACACTTTCTTTATGCATTCATCTGCCAATGGACACTTAGTTTTTTTCTGTATCTTAACTATTGTAAATAATGCTACAATGAACATAAGGTGCAGAAATGTTTTCATTAGTGTTTATATTTTCTTCCGATAAATCCTCAGAGATGGAATTACTAGATAATATGGTAGTACTACTTTCTATTTTCTGAGGAATCTCCGTACTGTTTTCTTTGGTGGCTGCACCAATTTACATTGCCACAAATGCACAAGGGTTCCCTTTTCTCCACGGCTTTGTTAATATTTGTTATATTCTTGTCTTTTCTGTAATAGCTATTCTAACAGGTGTGGTGACATTTCATTGTGGTTTTGATTTGCATTCGTATGATCTTTTTAATATATTGCTGAATTTGGTTTGCAAATATTTTGCTGAGGATTTTTTGTATCTTCATTTATGAGGGATATTGGCCTGTAATTTTCTTTTCTTGTGTTGTCTTTGTCTGGTTTTCATAATGGAGAATTGTTGGCCTCATAAATGAGTTTGGAAGTGTTCCTTCCTCTTCCTCTATTTTCCTGAAGAGTTTAAGGAGAATTGGTGTAAGTTCTCTTTTGAATCTTTGGTAAAATTTACCAATGAAGCTGTCTGGTACTGGACTTTTGTTTGTAAGGAAATCATATAGTACATGTAAGTTTTATTTTTAGAGGAACTATTACACTATTTTCCATAGTAGGACAACCTATTATATTAGCTCCTTGCCCTTTCATGTGTCACTATGCTCCCATTCCTTCAGAAAAACAAAAATATTAATCTTATCCTTATAAATTTCATTAGTCTATCTTGGTATTTTGTGAAACCTCCTTCCTTCTCACAAATTTCTGTGACCAAAAGCTCATTTCACTTCTGGCTACTGCCTGTTATAGCTACAGGTGCCTTAGCGAAATCTCCACATGGTCATCCAGAAACATGTATAAATGTGCTCATTGCAGTAGTGTATATTACATAAAAAACAGAAACAACCCAACCATTCATCTATAGGAGAACAGATAAATTATGACATTTTCACACAATGTGACATTATACAACAATGAATAAAAGCTATCTGTGAAACATGGATGAATCCCAGGGAAAAAATCACGTTCAAAACACCAAGTCACTGAAAACTACATACAATATGATATCATTTCATATCATTTTCATGAAGCTCAAAAACAAGACAATCTTAACAGTATGTTGTTCAAAGAAACATGTGTGATAACTTGAGTTTTTTAAAGACAGAGTAATAATAAACATAAAATGCAGTAAGGTAGTTATTTCTAGGGGTTCAGAAAGATGAAAAAGAGGTAGACCACACAGGAAAATGAATACTTTTCATCATCTAATGGATCTTAATATGGGTAGTGTTCCTTCAGTTGGTGCTTTTATTTTAAAATGGGGGCAGTTGACCACTGCAGAGATGTAGCTACCAATTCTCAGGTGTGTGTGAAAAAGAAAACATGGAAAAGGCAAGACTTCTTTTACTGCCATGGTTCCTACCTCCTGCACATCCACCACACCATGGTAAGGGGAAATTTTATCACTATGGATAGTTTCCACAAGTTTCACTTGTATAAAATGGATTTCTGTATACCTCCTTTTTCAAATATAATATTTCTCTCAATTTTAAGTCATTACCTGTTTTCATATTTTTAACATGGTACTCTGGGGATTAGAGGGACAAAAGAAAGGTGGGCACTTTGAAAGACTTCCCAACCGTGAAAGGGCTGCTAAAGGGGAAAGGATTACACAGAGCTCCTGCTCAGGAGAAAGGACAGGTGGACAAAATCATCACAGCAAACTCAGCCCAGAGGTTGGAAACTTTCAGTAGCTTCACACATTCCAAGCCCATTAGGCAACACGACACAAAAGCTCCCCACTGTGATATGCAGCATGCTGCTCCTTCCTCCCAGACAGCACCTGCAGGTCCGCCATCACAACAGACCAGCCAGAGACGGCCTCACATATGGCAGCTACAAGGACATAACATAGTCTCCTCCCTGCACAGTCCACCCACTGGCCCTGGCAGTGGAGGCAGGCACTGCAGCCAGGAAGTAGGAAAAAGCTCTTTCCTCCCAGCAGGCACTGGTGCCACACACCTGTGACCCACCCCTCCATCTCTCCAGGGGCTGGGCAGCTCCACAGAGTAGAGATTCTGGGCACTAGAGGGTGCTGCCTACACTAAGTTATTATCCATAGTAATCATTAGGAATATGAAACAGCAAAAGAATCTGTCACAGCCAAAAATTCCTCAAACACCAGAAAGAGGGCTCAGTGAAACTGAAATTGCCAATCTTCTTGATAAAGATTTCAAAATAAAAATCATAAACATGCCCATGAAGCTACAGAAAAATATTCAAAACCTCAAGGAGGAATTCAAGAAAGAGAAACTTTGAAAAATACAGTTATCTGAACTGAAACATATAACAGAGGGTTTTAAAAGCAGATTAGATGAGACAGAGGAGACAGTAAATGAAATAGAAATTAGAGAACAGGAATACAAAGAAGCTGAGGCACAGAAAAAAAACGGGTCTCTAGGAATAAAAGAATAGTAAGAGAAATATGGAACCAATCCAAATGGAACAATATTCACATTATAGGGGTACCAGAAGAAGAAGAGAGAAAAAAAAAAAGATGGAAAGTCTCCTTGAGGAAAAAAAATTGCTTAAAACTCCCCTGTCTGGGGAAGGAAATAGTCTCTCAGGCCATGGAGGAGCACAGATCACCCAACACAAGGGACCCAAGGAAGACAACACCAAGATATATAATAATTAAAATGGCAAATATCAAGGATGAGGACAGGGTATTAAAAGCAACGAGTGAGAGAGAAAACATCACCTACAAAGAAAAACCATCAGGCTATCATCAGACTTCCCAGCAAAAACCTTACATGCCAGATGGGAGTGGCATGATATATTTAATGCAATGAAACAGAAGGGCCTCCAACCAAGAATAATCCACCAGGCAAAATTATCATTTAAATTTGAAGGAAGGGTTAAACAATTTCCAGATAAGCAAAATGTGAGGGAATTTACCTCCCACAAACCATCTCTGCAGTGTATTTTGGAGGGGGACTGTTCTAGATGGAAGTGCTCCTAAGGCCAAATAGCTGTCACCAGAGAAAATAAAACCACAGTAAGGAAGGAGACCAATTAATCACTAAGCAAATGCAAAATTAAATCAACTACCCACAAAGTCAGTCAAGGAATACACAAAGAATACAGAACATAACAAATATATAAAGAGTGGAGGAGGAAGAAAAAGAAGGAATAAAACCCTTTAGATTAAATAGAGGTGTTAACAGCAACTGGATCTTGTCGCCTTTGGGGGGCTGTGACTGTGCCCTTCAAAGTGAATTTGGAGGTTCTACACTCCTGGTGGCTATTGCCTTCCTGCACCAGAGGCTGTGGTCACCTAGTTCCCAAGTTGGGGGCTCCACAGGCCTGCACTTGATGGGACATTTTGGGGACACCCAGACTCCAGGATATATGCTCAACCTACCTTCTCCCTGCAGAAAAAAAAGAAAAAAAAAGAAGAAGAAAAAAACAAACAGAAAAAACCTTTAGATTGTGTTTGAAATAGCATAATAAGCAAGTTAAGTTTGGCTGTTAGATTGTAAAGAAACTGCCCTTGTACCTTTGGTCACCACGAATCTAAAGCTTATACCGGCAATAAGTACATATCTATCAATAATCACCCTAAACGTAAATGGACTGAAAGCACCAATTAAAAGACCCTGTGTTACAGAATGGATAAAAAAGCAAGACATGTTTATATGCTGCCTACATGAGACTTCAAACCCAAAGACATACACAGACTAAAAGTGAAGGGATGAGAAAGGATATTTCATTCAACTAGTAAGGAGAAAAAAGCAGGAGTTGCAGTACTTACTCATATCAGAGAGAATCGACTTCAAAACAAAAAGTAACAAGAGACAAAGAAGGACACTACATAACAATAAAGGGGTCAGTCCAAAAACAGGACATGACCACTATAAATATCTATGCACCCAACATAGTAGCATTTAATTATGTGAAACAACTACTAAAAAAATTAAAGGGGGAAGTAGAATGCAATACATTCATTTTAGAAGACATCAACACACCACTCACTCCAAATAACAGATCAACCAGACAGAAAATAAGAAAAGAGAGGCACTGAAGAACATGTTAGAACAGAGGGAACTAACTGATATCTACAGAACACTCCACCCAAATAAGCAGGCTACACATTCTTCTCAAGTGCATTTGGAGCATTTTCCAGAATAGATCACATACTAGGACACAAAAAGAGCCTCAGTAAATTCAGAAGGATTGAAATTGTACCAACCACCTTCTCAGACCACAAAGGTATGAGACTAGAAATACATTATGCAAAGAAAACAAAAAAGCCCACAAACAGATGGAGGCTTAATAACATAGTGCTAAACAATCAATGGATTAATGACCATAAAAAAACCCAGAAATCAAGCAATATAGGGGGACAGACAAAAACAACTCCAAAACCCAAAATCTGTGAAATACAGCAAAGGTAGTTCTAAAAGGAAAGTATATGGCAATACAGGCTTACCTCAAGAAAGAAGAACAATCCCAAATGAACATTTAAAACTCACAGTTAATGAAAAGAGAAAAAAAGAACAAATGAGTCTCAAAGTCAGTAGAAGGAGGGACATAATAAAGATTAGAGCAGAAATAAATAAAATTGAGAGGAATAAAATGGAATCAATGAAACCAGGAATTGGTTCTTCAAGAAAACAAACAAACTAGATAAACCCCTAGCCAGACTTGAAATGAAAGAAAGAGAGTGTATACACATTAGCAGAATCAGAAATGAAAAGGAAAAACCACTACAGACACCACAAAAATACAAAGAATTATTAAACAATACTATGAAATATTATATGCTAATAAATTGGATACCCTAGAATGGAAAACTTTGTAGAAAAATACAACCTTTCAACACCTGACCAAGGAAGAAACAGAAAATCTGAACAGACCAATTACCAGAAATGAAATTGAATCGGTAATCAAAAAACTACCTAAGAATAAAATTCCTGTTTCAGATGGCTTCACTGCTGAATTTTATCAAACATTCAGAGAAGACCTAATACCCATCCTTCTTAAAATTTTCCAAAAAGTAGAAGAGGAGGGAATACTTCCAAACTCATTCTATAAAGCCAGCATTCTCTAATACCACTGCCAGGCAAAGACACAACAAAAAAAGAAAATTACAGAACAATATCCCTGGTGAATATAGATGCAAAAATACTCAACAAAATACAGGCAAACCAAATTGAAAAGTATATCAAAAAGATCTATAATGATCAAGTGGGCTTTATTCCAGGGATGCAAGGATGGTACAATATTCAAAAATTCATCAACATCATACACAACATCAACAAAAAGGGCAAAAAACACGATCATCTCAACAGATGCTGTAAAAGCATTTGACAAAATTCAACATCCTTTCATGATAAAAACTCTCAACAAATGGGTATAGAGGCCAAGTACCTCCAAAAACTAAGGGTCATATATGACAAATCCATACCCAAATACTTAACAACGAAAAGCTGAAATATTTTCCTCTAAGATTTGGAACAAGACAAGGATACCCACTCTCCCCACTTTTATTCAACATAGTACTGCAGATTCTAGCAACAGCAATCAGACAACACAAAGAAATATAGGCATCCATATTGGTAAGGAAGAAGGTAAACTGTCACTGTTTGCAGAAGACATGATGTTGTACATAAAAAACCCTAAAGAATCCACCCAAAACGATTAGAACTAACAACTGAATTCAGCGAAGTTGCAGGATACAAAATTAATACACAAAAATCTGTAGCATTTCTATATACTGAAAATGAACTAGAAGAAAGAGAAAAACAATTTCATTTACAATTGCATCTAAAAGAATAAAATGCCTAGGAATAAACCTAACCAAGGAGGAGAAAGACTTGTATCATAAAAACTACAAGACACTCCTAAGAGAAATTAAAGAAGATAACAATAAATGGAAATACATCTTGTGCTCACGGATATGAAGAATTAATATTGTCAAAATGGCCATACTGCCTAAAGCAATCTACAGATTCAATGCAATCCTCATTAAAATTCCAACAGCATTCTTCAATGAACTAGAATAAATAGTTCTATAATTCATATGGAACCACAAAAAACCCCAAATAGCCAAAGCAATCCTGAGAGGGCAGAATAAAGCAGGGGAATTATGCTACCTGACATCAAGCTCTACTACAAAGGCACTGTAATCAAGGCCTTTGATTTGATACTGCCACAAGAATGGACCCATAGATCAATGGAACAGAATAGAGAGTCCATATATAAACCCACACATATATATCCAATTAATATATGATAAAGAAGCTATGAATATACAATGGGGAAATGACAGCCTCTTCAACAGCTGGTGTTGGCAAAATTGGATAGCTACATGTAAGAAAATGAAACTGGATTACTGTCTAACTCCATACACAAGAGTAAACTCAAAATGGACCAAAGACCTGAACACAAGTCATGAAACCATAAAACTCTTAGGAGAAAACATAGGCAAAAATTTCTTGAATATAAACATGAGCAACTTTTTCCTGACCACAAGGGAAACAAGCAAAAATGAACAAATGGGACCACATCAAATTAAAAAGTTTCTGCACAGCAAAGGATGCCATCAGTAGAACATAAAGGCATCCTACAGTATGGGAGAATATATTCATAAATGACATATCCAATAAGGGTTAACATCCAAAATATATAAAGAACTCACATGCCTCAACACCCAAAAGCAAATAACCCTATTAAAAAATGGGTGGAGGATCTGAACAGACAATTCTCCAAAGAAGAAATTCAGATGTCCAACAGGTACATGAAAAGATGCTTCACATTGTTAATTATCTGGGAAATGCAGATTAAATTCACAGTGAGATATCACCTCACAACAGTTAGGATGGCCAACATACAGAAGACCAGGAGCAACAAACACTAACATGGATGCAGAGAAAAGAGAACCCTCCCACTCTGCTGGTGGGATTGTAAATTAGTTAAACCATTGTGGAAAGCAGTATGGATGTTCCTCAAAAAACTAAAAATAGAAATACCATTTGACCCACTCCTAGAAATTTACCCTAAGAAAACAGGATCACAGATTCAAAAAGACATATGCACCCCTATTTATCACTTCTTGTGCCAGTATCAAATTGTCTTGATTTATCGCAGCACTATTTGCAATAGCCAAGATATGGAAGCAACCTAAGTGTCCGTCATTAGATGAATGAATAAAGAAGATGTGGCACACATACAGAATGGACTATTATTCAGCCATAAGAAGAAGAAGACAAATCCTACCATTTGCAAAAACATGGATGGAGCTAGAGGTTTTTATGCTCAGTGAAATAAACCAGGTAGAAAAAGACAAGTACCAAATGATTTCACTCATCTGTGGAGCATAAGAACAAAGCAAAAACTGAAGGAACAAAACAGCAGTAGACTCACAGAACCCAAGAATGGACTAACAGCTGCCAAAGGGAAAGGGACTGTAGAGTGCGGGTGGGAAGCGAGGGAGAAGGGGAATAAGGGGCATTACAATTAGCACACATAATGTAGGAGGAAGGCAGTATAGCATAGAGAAGACAAATAGTAACTCTACAGCGTCTTACTAGGCTGATGGACAGTCACTGTGTGTGTGGGGGGGGGACTTGATAATATGGGTGAATGTAATAACCACAATATTGCTCATGTGAAACCTTTTTAAGACTATATCAATAACACATTAATAAAAAATATTTTAAAAATAAATAAAATTATAAAAAGTGTGCTTTCAAACTAATGCCCAATTTCCTACTTTTTTTTTCTCATTGATTTAAATGAATATGTTACATATCTTGAATAAGAACACTTTGCAATTGCATTTTCATTCTCTTAATGGCACTTGATAAAGAAGAGTTCTTAATTTGAGTATAATCCATTATGTATTTTTTGGATTTAAACATTTTTTTAATTAAAAATTTACTTCATAGTTTCTGCTTTTTGTATCCTACTTAAGAAATTTTTCCCTACCACCAATATCATAAATATATTACAGTAATTTCTAAACATTTTTTTCCACAGATTCCTTTGAGTGTCTGGGGAATCCTACCACCAATATCATGAATATATTACAGTAATTCCTAAAGTTTTTTACCATGGATCCCTTTAGTATATGGGGAAGACTGAGCACCACTCAGAATAATTTTTAAGTAAATAAGATAAAATAAATATAAAATATGTAGCACTGCAAATAAACAGTTATATTGAGTAGAGTTCTATTGAGGGACCCTATAAGACAACCCCAACCTGGGAGCTTTATTATTTTACTATTTATA